CTTAACACAGTTACTATCACCACCACCAAAAAGGCAAAGTCCAGCTGATGTTGTCGAAACCACTCCTCCCTGGACAAAGCTGCCATTCCAAGATGCATCAGTTCCTACTCAGTCCTTGGAGTGGAGCTGTGGAGAAACAGCATCGGGTGCAGGTGTGATTGGTCTGGAGCTGGTTAACGTCATCGCCCTCCTTCTCTGTGACGTTCCATGAGCCGGAGGTCAATCCTTGTGGCCAGGTCCTCTAGCTGCTTTAAAGACTGGGGGAAGTCTTAGGTAGCCAACTTGCCTACCATGAAAACATCCATCAAGGTGACCTCGTTCCAGCGAATGTCCCATGATAATAAAAGAAAGTCTATAATGTAGGGGAGTGTTGCCTAGTGGTTAGAGCAGTGCTCTAGTGCTCTGAGAAGGTTGCATGTACAGGTGCTGGTCATAAAATTAGAATATCATGAAAAAGTAGATTGATTTCAGTAATTCCATTTAAAAAGTGAAACTTGTATATTATATTCATACATTACATACAAACTCATATATTTCAGATGTTTATTTTGTTTAATTTTGATGATTACAAATGACAACAAATGAAAATCTCAAATTCATCATATCAGAAAATTAGAATATTACTGAAGACCAATAAAAACAAAGGATTTATAGAAATGTTGGCCAACTGAAAAGTATGAACATGAAAAGTATGAGCATGTACAGCACTCAGTATTTAGTTGGGCCTCCTTTGGCCTGTATTACTGCAGCAATGCGGCGTGGCATGGAGTCGATCAGTCTGTGGCACTGCTCAGGTGTTATGATAGCCCAGGTTGCTCTAATAGTGGCTTTTAGCTCTTCTGAATTGTTGGGTCTGGTGTATTGCATCTTCTTCTTCACAATACCCCATAGATTTTCTATGGGGTTAAGGTCAGGAGAGTTTGCTGGCCAATTAAGAACAGGGATACCATGGTCCTTCAACCAGGTACTGGTAGCTTTGGCACTGTGTGCAGGTGCCAAGTCCTGTTGGAAAATGAAATCTGCATCTCCAAAAAGTTGGTCAGCTGCAGGAAGCATGAAGTGCTCTAAAACTTCCTGGTATGTGGCTGCGTTGACCCAGGACCTCAGAAAACACAATGGACCAACACCAGCAGATGACATGGCACCCCAAACCATCACTGACTGTGGAAACTTTACACTGGACTTCAAGCAACGTGGATGAAGTGCCTCTCTTCTTTTCCTCCAGACTCTGGGACCTTGATTTCCAAAGGAAATGCAAAATTTACTTTCATCAGAGAACATGACTTTGGACCACTCACCAGCAGTCCAGTCCTGTTTCTCTTTAGCCCAGGCAAGACGCTTCTGACGCTGTCTGTGGTTCAAGAGTGGCTTGACACAAGGAATGCGACAGCAGAAACCCATGTCTTTCATACGTCTGTGTGTGGTGGTTCTTGAAGCACTCACTCCAGCTGCAGTCCACTCTTTGTGAATCTCCCCCACATTTTTGAATGGGTTTTGTTTCACAATCCTCTCCAGGGTGCGGTTATCTCTCTTGCTTGTACACTTTTTTCGACCACATCTTTTCCTTCCCTTCGCCTCTCTATTAATGTGCTTGGACACTGAGCTCTGTGAACAGCCAGCCTCTTTAGCGATGACCTTTTGTGTCTTGCCCTCCTTGTGCAAGGTGTCGATGGTCGTCTTTTGGACAACTGTCAAGTCAGCAGTCTTCCCCATGATTGTGTAGCCTATAGAACTAGACTGAAAGACCATTTAAAGGCTTTTGCAGGTGGTTTGAGTTAATTAGCTGATTAGAGTGTGGCACCAGGGGCCATCAATTTTGAACCTTTTCACAATATTCTAATTTTCTGATATGATGAATTTGAGATTTTCATTTGTTGTCATTTGTAATCATCAAAATTAAACAAAATAAACATCTGAAATATATGAGTTTGTATGTAATGTATGAATATAATATACAAGTTTCACTTTTTAAATGGAATTACTGAAATCAATCTACTTTTTCATGATATTCTAATTTTATGACCAGCACCTGTATGTCTTTAGTATAGGGTGCATAACAGGGGCCAGGACATGATCTACAGGGGCACTGGCCCCCATTGGCCCCTGTCTAGAACGGCCCATGCAATCCAGTTAAAGACAAAGTGTAGATGATCTGAATAACAAGCCAAGTTATAAACTAGATTAAATGATCATTTGCGGCTCTTCCTGTGAATCCTGTCCAGTATTCTATGTAGCAGCTCTCCTCTAAAACTACAACTGCTGATGACTTTGCAAACATATCATTATAATTGCGATACCGACTCTTTGAGTGTCCTCTACATCGAATCAGAAGCTAAATGAAATAACTGATGGTGCCTCGCTGTGAGGCCGCATGATTTCACCCCCTCCTCAGATCTGTGCTGTTAGAGTTTCTATCAGAGTTTCCATCTTCAGACTAAACGCCACGTTAGCTGCCACAGCCGCCTTTTGGGTCTTATTTATTTTTCCGAGGAAATGTCAGGGCCAGGACAAACACAATATTCTGTATGTATGGCGAAGAGATGACATCACAGGCAGCCGACGGCCAAGATGGGGGGATCACACGAGTGAAAAAAAACAAAAAAACTCCTGCCTGCTCATCATATGGATAACTGTCTGCACACTCAGACACCTAAACTGGATTTTTAAAGTAAAGGGATTTATGGCAAATCCACCATGAGTTTCTTAAATCTAATTTATGGACCTTTAAGGTCATGATTACTTTAGATGATTCACTTTTTTAACCTTCTTAGTGATTCTAATGATAATTTCTAAAAAATATTCATTTCTCAGATTCAGATCTTTGCAAACCGGTTCTTTTTACTGGTTTAACTGGGCCAGGCCGTCGTCCTCAGGGGGGAATTAATTCATCTTGACGCTGACTGACAGGTGCCTCCAGTGGAAGTTTGACTAAACCAAAAACGCAGCTGAAATATTTGGCAAAACAGCATGTCTTTTTTTTAAAAAAAAAAGAAGAAAATAACGAAATAAGTAGATAAAGAGGTGCTGGAAGTAGGAGAATAACAAGTGGAGATAATCCCATGTGAGTCCTGTCCTGAATTCTGTATCATTTCTACTGATGAGCTTCTTGGGCAGCTGCCACGCCAAGAGAGGATGCTCATAAACAAATAATTATTCATCCTAATAATCTTCCATATTCATGTGCAAATAAGATCCCTCCCTGGTTTCTCAGCGGCTTCAAGGTTGTATGTGGGAGGTTCCTGTAACTACTGCCTGACTTGACTCATTTCTTGCCAGGAAGGAGTCAGTCTACGGGTCAAGGAGAAGTTCCAGTCAGATATGCAGAGTTTTTTTGTGAGCAGAGTTCTGACCAAGAAATGTAAAAGGCAGAGGACTTTCTCTGCACATATATATGTGTATTTTTTTGTTTTAGCAGCTCATAAAAAAACATTCAATGTATGCCCTATGAGGAAGGACAGCAGGAAGACGTCTATTATTCACAGCCCTTAAACTTTTTACATTTTGTCACATTTTAGCTATAAATTTTTTATCTATTATAGGAATGTTATGTGTTAGACTAATGCACAGTTTTATGTAATAGGGGAGTGATAATAAAATATATGTATAATGTTTTCTAATAGTTGTGAAAGTCGACCTTAACTAATGAATCTGGGGAGGAGAGGATTGATAAAGAAAAGGAACAAAGAGGCTCAAAGAAAAAATTAATGCAACCGCTTTTAGTATTTATTTAATCATATTTAGTTACTTTATCACAATTAATTTATGCCCTATCCTGCTAACAGGAAACAATTGTGTTAAAGTTACTAAATATGATTAAATACATGCTAAAAACGGTTGCATTATTTTATAAATCTTCATTTCAGCTGAGAGAAATGTTCCAAATACAGTTTTGTTATCTTAAGCTCTTTCAGTCTGGGCTTTTATGGAAGAATAACACTGAACCCCACCCCCAAAAACATCACTGAAACATGGTGGTGGCAGCATCATGCTGTAGGATTCAGGTAAATGGGACAAATGGAGGTTCTGGTGGAAAACCAAGCTCAAAAAGCTTCATCTGAACTGTTTGGATCAAATAGGTTAAAGCGTTCCAAAGTTAAGGAATAAAAATCATTTCAAAAACAGCTGGGAAGAATTTTTCACAGTCACTCAATTTAATCTGATTTGAACTCAAACAATTTAGCACAGAAACACCTGAGAAGATTCAAATGTCCGGTTGTTCAGAAACATACTATACCTCTTAAAGACTTCCAGCTGTAACTGGTGGAAACTGTGATTTACAAAGTATTGATTCTCAGCTACTTATACGTATGATGACACAAAGACAAACATGACCAAAAAAGAGACGTTTAAAGGCAATAAATGCTTCTCTGTCTATTAAACTTCAAAAACATATTTTCACTTCCAATAATGAAAAACGTAGAGAAAAAAAATCAGTAGGTCTTGTATTTTAATCATGTAAAGCACTTTGCATTGTCTTTGTACTGAATTGTGCTATACAAATTAATTTGCCTTGCCTTGCCTTGCCTTGCTAGAAAGATTGTTAAAAGCCTCCTTCTAATTTCTGGCGGCCTCCGCTAAGAACGGCTCACAAGCGCTGTGCGTAATTACGCACAACCCAGGGAGGCGCAGAATAAATAAATAAACAAATCCCATCATTTAAACAAGTTTTCCAGACTAAGGGGGCCCAGCTAACCCGGTGTAACCCTAACCCATCTTTCCTCACCCTGCATGACATGCAATAGTTTGCTTCATATGCACGTAGGGCTATAAATAGCGCACAGACTGTCTCGCTTCTTGGAGCGCTCAAATGAGAGGAGTCAGGTTCTCAGTGTGGATGAAACAACATGGTGGACATTTGGGTAAAGGTTTTTGAAATCAATAAAATAGAATGAATAACTTTGGCATGATGAAGCTGCTGGGGGAGGGGTGGCATAAAAAAACAAACAAACTTTGAACCAATACAGTAAAGTGCAGGAATTATTAGTTTACACAGCACGTACCATGGTGGTGTGGGGAAATGTGCCAACACTCTCAAAGAGCCATTTTCCACTTTCCAAAGTTCAGCTTCCAGAAAAAAAAAGGAAAGGTGGGAGATAGAAAAGTGCCTGGTTCTTGTTGTGCTGGGCCTAAAGCTCGGCCTGCTGCCCGGTAAACATTCTACAATGCTGGGGAGGGGGAGGTGGAGGGGAGGAGGGGGGAGTCTGCGGGTCAACTTTCCTCCTTACTAATCCGAACCGGCTTTCTTCATCCGGAGAGTCTCTGCTCTGGTTCAGATCGCTTCCATCCAACTCCGCGGGTCTCTGATCACCGGTTCTCCGTCCGCGGAACGAGAGGAGCGCCGCGCGGCGACACCGGGCGGTAAGTAGCCTTCTGCTTCCTGCGCGCTCAGCCGCTCAGCTGCCGGTTCGGACGCTTTTCTCCTCCCTGCATGAATGAACTCAGTCCAGAGCCGATTTTGCTGATCCGAAAGCGCGCAGTTCTTCCTCCACCTGTTCCTCAGAGTCCGCGGAGAGAAGCAGGCTGGGTGGGTGGGGGCAGGGGTTTGGGCGCGCGCCTCAAAACCAAACTCACCGTCCCGACCTCAGAGACATCAGAGCGGAATCAGCCTACCAGCAGCGGAGACGCGTGAGTGACACCGAGCAGCTGAAACCGAGTAAACAAAGTGTGGAAAGTAGGGAAACACGCGGCGTGGCTGGACGCACGCGCGCATGCGGTTCGTCCCCGCGGCCCCGGCCGGAGAAACGGAGCGGAGCGGAGAGGAGAGGAGCTGGTGAATTATTAATAACCGCAGCGCTCCGCAGTCTGTCGCGTTCAGTGAGTAAGCAGGGCGGCAGCTGGAGGTTTACAGGAATTAAATACGGGCTCAGAGTAAACCGTGGACGCAGGGGATTAGAGGCTCTCACCGGCTTCAGCGCAGGGGCAGCGAGGGGCCGACAGCGAGGGGGGAGGGGGAGCGGAGGTTAGGGGAAATGATTCTGGAGGAAATAACTTATTTCTATCTCTAATATAGATCCGAAAGACCATTAAAACATGGGAAAAAACACCAGTAAAACTGGCTGATAGAATCTATCCAATAAAACTGGAGCAAAAATATGAATTATATTCAGTATTTCTAAATATTTATGTTTTAGCTTTAAAACCCCTAAATACCAGAAAGTTATTTAAAAATCTGATTTTTAGAAAAAAAAAAAAAAAAAGCAACATTTTCTTTTTTTCTGATCATAAATATGAAGATATTTTTCAATCCCTGTCCAACACTATAAAAAATGCAATCAAATATGAACCACTAACTCATTTATGTAGATATTTTGGATAAATGCTTGTTTTTATTATTATTTTTATACCTTTTTAAATTGCAGATGTTGGTTCAGTCAATCATTAGCTCCTGTCAGTCTGTCCCCCGCATGGTTTGTATTATGAATGATCTTATTAACAACCTGTGATCAAGTTTACTTTAGATGCTAAACCTGCTAACCAGTCGTTGCCATGGTACCTGATATGGTTTTCATTAGAAAAGTTTACAGACCTTCAAACAAGAATGGTTCCCAAACATTAATTCCAATTATTTTTCATTAGTTTTAGGTTATTTTTACATTTTATGATTCATTAAAATTTTACTTTAAGCTTTAGAGCTGTTGCTAAACTAGCAAAGGCAACTAAAATGGTGACATTTTATCCAAACTCAGTTAAGTCAATGATGAAACAGCTCCTTCAAACATCAGCTTTGTTGAACACCAAACATGATGACTGCTGACTGAGCAGCAGGAGCAGCCTTGGATTTTATACCAAAAATGAAAATTTTCTTGTTGGAAATAAATCATAATACACAAACCAATGTGTCAGACTGCTTTTAAGGGACATTTTCAAAGGTTCTCTGCAGTTTTATTGAGGGTTGTATGACAATAAACATATTTTAACAGAAAAAAATAACAGATGTTTTACTGTGTAGGCCCTATGTTGGTGTTTCTGGAATAATCAGGTTTATTTGAAACATTATTCTGAATAGTTTGAATTTGTAAAAGGCTTCTATCGGCGCATTTTACGCACAGCCAACCCCGCAAAGTCATGCTGGGGTCCCGAGTGTCCCCCCACCCCCCCTAAGTTCCTACCATGTGTTTTATTTGGTCACTACTACAGCCAGCAGTCTGGCAGAACAGAAGTTAGAAGCGCAAACATGTTCATGTATGCGCAGGTGCGCGACTCCTGGCAGGAGAACAGCGCCTCTGGTAAAACACCATATTAATTCATCACAAACAGCACAAAAAAAGGAGAAGCAGGGGAAATTAGGAAGAATTTCCACAGAGATAAAAACCCACCATCCTGCTTCATGCATAAGTAAACCACCTAAACGAAACCCTTCTTTTTTTTCTCTTACTTTTAGGGAAAATCCAGTTTTTTATGCGGCTGATGGTCTAAAACAAAAATGAAAAGAGGTTTCATCCTTGGAATAAAATGTGAATACTGGGATTAAATTCTTTATTTTATTTTTAATTTTTGGCAAAAAAAGATGATAAATAAAAAAATAAAATGATAAATAAATAAAGTAAAAGCATTAAATTTGTATAAACATCAACTTAGTTCGATTTTATTGTATTCTCGTCATTAAACAAATATTAATATTAAATAATTTGATTTTTTTATCACCATTCTATCTCGATAGAGAAACCCTCCTAGTCATAAATCTGTTTCTTTATTTTTAATGAAAGTCTTAATATGTTTTTGACTTAAAAATTGTAAATATTCTATTACCTTTTCCTCCTTTTTCGGATGAAAAACCCAGAAAAAAAAAATACGCTAATATTTAGTTTAGCTCTGTAGAGATTTTAAATATATATTGACACGAAGGGTATAAAAGCTTGTTTGTATAGAAATTTTTTTTTTTCCAAAGCTGAATATTTTTCTGCTCAGTTAAAAGGCTGAATTTGTTCATCTAAACGTGTTTTCAAGGTTAAACTGCCTCTCAGGTATTTTTGACGTCGGGGTTTCTGGTTTGCAGCTATTTTTATTAGACGCAATGAATAATTCAGTCAGTAGTTAGTAAATATTAATGTGTGTGATGCTTTGTGGCCTTTTCTCTGCTTTTTGTGCGGCCTGCAGCTGCGGGCCTCAGTGGGAGCAAAGCCTTTCCGCTCCTAATCAGCTCCATGGGAGGCCAGTCTGTCACTGACTGCAAAACGCGACATTTTACCTTTTATTTTAATAAACTGGTCAAGCTTTTCTTTGTTAAAGTAATTATTATTTCAATGCATAAAGCTAACAGTTGGAATGAGCATAAAACATGCGCATATCTGAGCTCATAGCAGACCATGCTTCATGCTTGTTTTCTAGTTACATTTAATAAAATATAAAGGAAACAAGCATAACTTTAAACAGAAACAAAAAAGCAAAAAAAAAAATATATATATAATTTTGTAATAAGAAAATGCATGCATTTTATGTGTGTAGAAAAAAAATCAATAATACTGTAAAGAAATTTTGCAAGTTAAAAAAAATTGTGTTGAATTTCAATTTTTGGTTTGAACTCAGAGTTAAAATGAAAAATAAAAATAAGAACTGGTTAGTGACTGAGGCATTTTGCTGATCAGCTCATCCAAGCACAACTAAGGTTTAAATGCTACCTTTTTAAAAATTTTAATGCTTTTAACTTTCATTTATGCTTCTTTTAAACACGTGAGGATGAAGCAGCTGTCTCTGCAGTTAAATCTTGAACTCTTGCTCCAAACCAGAACCTTTCCCACACATTTTATAACAGTTTTTACATTTTATTAAGTCGATAAAGTCACTCATAATCAAAGGCATAAACACATTGGCCTCTGCATTATCTGCTGGACATCACACCAAGGAGAGCTGCTAACGACTAACTGAATAAACATTAATTTAGGTTCCAGTCAAAATTTAGTGGTTGGATTTATCATCAAATTGAATCAAATAGAATTAAAGCATAATTAAATGTAAAGTTTAGAAATTAATATAAAATTTGGCCAATATTTGATATCCCCTAAAGTTCAAAGTTCAATTATCTAGAGACTCCTGAATAAGATGACTGAGCAAAGGTGAACAGCAAGTTCTTCTCCATAGATCCGAACATCCTCTCCTGGCTGCTGGGGAAGCGAGCGGCTCTCGTGTCGGCCTGCAGGTTTGCACTAAACTGTGAAACAAAAGTTCCACCAGGCAACAGCTCAGAGAGGAATGCTGAGCTTGGCATGCAGGGCCACTGGAGCCGGCTTCTGCTCACCAGCTCACCAGCCGTCCTCTCCTCCTCCTCTCTTTAGGCATTAAATCCGGACACATTTCAATGCCTTAATGGTGCCACCGTGGTTTGAGGCAGACCAAAGCCATTCTGGGTCAGTCTCTGCTGCTGCAGGCTGCACTATAAGATGGAGTCCCTTAGTGGCAAACTTTGGTTTTAAATCAGCTTTTTAGTGGAAACAACAGGGAGAAATTAACTGTTTTTTATTGCTCACAGCATTAACTAAACCTTAGGTAATAGACCATGGCTACATTATAACTATAAAGTCAGGTTAACTTATGTTTTTATGAGTATAAAATTATGAAAAAGAAAATTTAATTGAGAGCAAAGAGTAAATTTCCCATATTGGATTAAATGTTTGATTTTTAATTGTCATCTTTAGGTAATACTTTCCCAATTTTATGGTTTTGTTTTTCATTTATTCTTTCAATTTATTGAAACTTGACTCAGTAATACGCGTGTAACAAGCCCAGATATATACAGTACCAATATATTCTTTCTTTTTTATATAACAAAACCTGATGATCTCAAAATGCCAATAACAAAAAAAAACAAAAACCTTTCAACTTTTATTATATCCCCACTGGTGAGTGCTTTTTTTTTTACCTTTAACTTTACTTCATCTATAATGAATGACTCTGTGCGCGTTGATGGAGTATAAACGTTTAACTGTTTGGATCTAGTCAAGATGAAGATGAATCTTTCCACCAGTTCAAGGATTGTTAAAGAGGTAAATAATTCTCTATTGGGAGAGAACGGCAGCAAAGAGGGACATCAGGCTCACTTCATCTGGCAGTTATCTAAACATCAGCACATAAACATACACAGATGGATGGAATTTACTGAAAGCTATGTAGACTCCATGAATCCACATGTTGTTAAGTAAGGTGGAGGACCTGTGATCCTGTGGGCTTTTTTCTCTTCCAAAGGTCTCAAGAAAACTCAAAGATTTCATTGAGTCTTTAAGCAGATAAATAACCTCTAACAAATGGCTAAATCAACCCTGTTTAGATAGAAGAGGGCATAAGGAGGTAGACAGGGCTGTAGATAGATGGGGGGCCATGGCCACCCTGAACCACCCCCAGGAGGTGATTTGTTGATACTCTCAGGAGAAATGCTCTAATTTGACATTTTGAATGTTAGTGTATTCATCGTAAACAGACAAGAGCCATATTTTTCACATCAATAAACTGACATTAAAGATGACAAATAAATTTTTCAATTCAATATTTTTATATGACTACAGCTCATAATACATGTCATTTCAAGGCACTTTACAGAGACAATTCAACCAGATCATACAGTCAGATACGAGAAAAAAAGTTTTCTATTTATGGAAAACCAGCCAATAGATTTGAGTCATTGACTTCACAGGATTCTCCCCTCCTGAATAAGCATGTGGGAAAAGGAGAAATTTGCTTTCATTGTGTCTTTTACTCGACAGAGCATGCATGAAGCGACAGGGGAGAGGAAAAACTCCTTTTTAACAGGAAGAAACCTCCAACAGAACCAGGCTCAGGGTGAGTGGCCATCTGCCGAGGATGACTGGGGTTTAAGTAGAGAGAAACAGACATACAAAAGAGACATATGCCCCATTTAAATAACCCCTCTGTTACCGATCCAGAT